CCCCCGCCCGTATCAATACCGCCCATCACCCCTCCCCCCCAGGGGGCGGCTCTGTTTTTGCCGCCCCAAGCACGGCGGTCAGGCGGCCTTCGGACGCGTTTCTGCGGGTGATCTGCGGGTCCCGCGGCTTCGGCCACCGAATTGCCCCCGAACCCGCGGGACCGCCCGCCGAAGGCCCCCTGACTGCCGCCCTCACAGCGACCGACCGACCGGCCGCCCGCCGCTGGCCGGCCCAGGCACGCGCTTGCTGCGCTGGTGCCTGGAGCCGCCGCGCCTCCCCACCTCACCTACCGCTGCGCCCCGCGGTTCTCCCGAGCCCCCGCCAGGCCCCGCCCTTTCCAGCGGCTGCGTGGCGATTGACCAGAGGGCGCCACGTGACCCGGAAGCGGGTCCGCCTCCACGCAGCGGGCGGTTGTGCGGAGTGAGCGAGAAGGGAGGGGGCCGCGCGCGCGGCCGGAAGTGCCCCGCGGCGGGAGCGCGCAGCGGAACCCCAATGCAAGGGAGCGCAGCGGGGCGGGGAGGCGCTCAGAGCCGCGGCCGGCAGGCAGGATCCGGGTGTCAGCCCCAGGTAAGGGGCGGGTCAGGACTGTCCCCTCGCCCCTGGGAGCCGGGGCTTCCCTGGGGTCCGGGACCCTGTCACTCCCCAGGGGCTGGGCGCTCCGGCCCCAGCGGCTTCTCCCCGCGGGGTCAGGGGGACCCCCCTTGCCGGCTCTGGCCCAGGCCCCCTCTCCAGTGGGGGGGTCTCTTGCTCCCTCTCAGACAGAGTTCCTGAGCCCGCCACCGCCCCTCATGGGCTGCCCGCAAGAGGGGGGGGTCTCCCGGGTCCCCCCTTCTCCTCAGAGTGCCCGTGGGGAGGGGCCCAGCTGTGCTCACCATGGGGGAATCCCTGACTGGAGAGAGGATTGGGGCAGCCTTGTGTGTGGGAGTGAGGTGGGGCGCCCTGCCCAGCCAGGTGGAGGTGAAGGCGGGGCTGTGAGTAAGGGTGTGCTTCAGAAGATTCATAGCTTCATAGAGTCCCGCGCCAGCAGGGACCATTGTGATCAATTAGTCTGATCTCCTGTATAACACAGGCCACCTTTGGAGAAGTCATGGGCTGGAAATCCCTGCCCTGGCATGTGGGTTTGGGGCTGTCCCTGTGCTTTGGAATGGGGCCCTTTGAGACCGTTCCCCAGGGGTTCTCAAACTGGGGGTTGGCACCCCGGAGGGGATCGTGAAGTTATTACGTGGGGGGTCACGAGCAGTCAGCCTCCACCCCAAATCCCGCTTTGTCTTCAGCATTTATAATGGTGTTAAATATATAAAAAAAGCGTTTTTTAATTTATAAGAGCGGGGACGTACTCAGAGGCTTGCTATGCGAAAGGGGTCACCAGTACAAAAGTTTGAGAACCATTGCCATACCCTGTTTGGAATCCAGCTGGGGATGACCTTTGTCCATGTATAGGAGGTTGCTCCCCCAGTTTATTTCAGAGAACCTGTGTCCCTTGGGCCTGTATGAAATTCAGAATTTGGGATGGGGTTGTCTTTCTGCCATATGTTTATGAATACACTTGCTTTAATGGCTGATGCTGCTTCTTTTGAGTCCCCTGGGAATTGTGGATTGTGTCTTAGGCTGCCACTCCCACCCTGATGTGTGGGGAGATCTTTATTTTTTCCAAACTACTGTGGGTAGGCAAGAGAAAACACTTCAGAAAACTGGGCAAGATGATGTGGGAGTTTGAGATGATATCATCCTTACCTGAGTTGGACATCCCCTGAAGAACCTTGTCTTACATGGCTGGGTTCTCTTTACCGGTTGCAGATTTGTAAATGTGCTTGCTTTCTCCCTGAAACCTTACTGGTATAGATGTTGAAAGAGGAAACGGCAGTGCCCAAATGTCATGTTACTATAAAGGGGAGGGTGAGATGTGGGGCAAACTAACCAGCCAAATTATGCAATTTAAGGGGGAGGTTAGGCTAGATTTTACCATTTTTCCAAGGGGTGGGACCTGAGGTCCTATGGGGCCACTTGCAAGAATTAAAATAGATATAGTCAAGCCCTGCTTCTTAAGCACTGACCCTGTGGGTGCTCTGGGGCTGGAGCACCCATGGGGGAAAAAATGGTGGGTGCTGAGCAACCACCAGCAGCCCTCCTATCACCTCCCCCTCTCTGCCCCCCCCCCAGCACTTCCCACCTACCAGCAGGCCCCGCTGATCAGCACACACACACACACACACACACCCCGCCACCAGGAGGCTGTGGGAGGAGTGAGGATGCAGTGCCCTTGGGGGAGGGGGCAGAACTGGGCAGGAAGAGGTGGGGCTGGGTGGACCGGGGGCAGTAAAAGGTGGGGTGGAGGTGGGGCCTTGGAGGATGGGGTGGGGGCGGGGCAGGGTCTAGGGCAGAGCCAGGGGTCAAGCACCCCCTGGAACTTTGGAAAGTCAGCATCTGTGCCCTGCTTCCTTTTTTGGGTCATGTATGTTTGGGTGGTGGAAGGGAGGCATACAGATTCAACAAGTGTTTAGGACCATCCCTGTTCTTTATAATTTAAAGCCCAGATTTTAGATCCTTACTGCAAATGTGCATAAACGTTGCATGTGCGGGTTTTGTTTAATAAAACCTTGGAAATATTTAATATGTCCTGCTCCTTAAGCATCTGCTACTGTGAGAAAGGCCTATTTTTTTTTCCCCCTTCACCAGAAGATTGGGAAGTTGTGTGACTAGTATTCTGAAATTTTGGAGATTTACTGTATTCAGAAAGCACACTGTCTGTTTTCTTAAATTTTCCCATATTGGTAGTTAAAGCTGTAGGAGGGACTAAGAGGTGCAGACTGGATTGTAATTGTAGATATTTCTGTAAATGGATTGACTACCTTGCTTGGCTGATAAATGAGGCTAGGTCTACATTATCGGCTAAATTGGCATTGCTGGGATCAATACAGCGGTGTCGATTTAGTGGGTCTGCTGAAGACATGCTAAGTTGATGGGAGAGCGCTCTCCTGTTGATGTCTATACTCCACTTCCCTAAGAGGCGGAAGCTACGTTGACAGGAGAGGGTCTCCCGTCAATATAGGTCGACTTACAGTGGTGTCTACACCACACTAAGTTACATGGACTTCAGTTATGTAATTTATGTAATTGAACTAGCCAGGGTGGATTTGATTTAAATCATTAGTCAGGAAGACTGGATTTAATCATGGATTTCTACATAAAAGTGCATTCTTGTTGGTTGTTGTAACCTTAATACATATTCTTCACAACTCAGAGATAGATGGTTTCATTTTTAGAAGGTATACGTTATATATTTAAGTGATTTATTTTGAAGACTTTTCAGATTACTTTTACAGCTATATCAGAAAATGAATGATTGTTTAGTAGTTGAAGCAGATATTTATGAAATCATTGGGAGGTGAACGATCTCCAATTCAACAGGTTAATCATTAATATTTGGAGGATTTTCTTCCCATGCTGTATTAGGAGGAGAGCCTCACCAGACAGACATTTAAATTGTTTTATTTAACTAAAACAACAACATTATGTATTCTGGATTTTTTTCTTCAACAGCAAACCTATAATATTTTAACAAAACAAGCATATAAATTTTTGAATTTAGTTAAACATTCAAGTTTTTTAAAATCAAGTTTGCTTTTGTTAAATTGTTTTTAACTAAAATAGTTAAATATTTTTTTAAAAATCGACTGTCAGCCACATCAACATGAGAAACTTAAAATTTTGTATTCTGCAGCTAACTCGGTCGTCTTCACATTCATGTTCCTGTTTGTTCATAATCTGGAAGAGAAAAACAAGCTTTCCTGCTTTTTCAGGTTCCAAACAATTTCTCAATTTGGAATGAATTTGTTCAAAGGAAGAAAATATTCTTTTTACACTGGTAGAAGAAGCTACTGCTGTTAAAGTGAGATTATTACTTCAACAGTCTCAAGTGCTTAAGTGACTTCCACCAGTTCACTGGTGTGACTTTTTTTAAACATCATCAGCAAACATATATTTGTTGAATGGTTCTTATTCCCAAACTGGCTCTCTTTTACGGCTTGCTGCCATTATAGGGTTTCCCTTCCAGTGAGAGATTGGTATGGTAGATCTCAGATCAATGAAGGCTACGCTCAGAAAAACCTCAAGACTTCTGGAATATGCTGCTCAAACAGTTTAACTTTGGTTTCTACTCCTGTCCCTCCCTTTTCACATTTATGTCCAGACTTCTTCTCTTTGTCGAGATCTATTCCGTGCCCAACAATCTTCTATTCATTGAACTTTTTGAAACTTCACACTTTGAGAGGGGTAAGGGATTGACTCTGTGTACACAAATTTGCAGAGGGACAGTAGGGTTGAGGTCTGTTATTTCTCACCTCTATATATTATTTATTTCTTTATTTAAAAACATTTTTGCTGTTAACAAGCATGTTCTCTGGAGACACAAATCCACAGTTTGGGAACTGCAAAACTACACATCTCTGATGGTATCTTCTAGACTGAGCACTGAGTCCCATTGGGTAGATAGAAAGATTAACCTAAATAATCTATACAGAAGCATGTGGAATCCCATAAGATTAGGTCTCTAATCCATGAACTATTGGAACTCAGTTACAAAACTTTTCTTAAACATTACATGAATATATTGTCTCATACTATAGAATTAGAATTTACAATCCCTATTCTATGATGAGATATCTTTGAGCTATAATGTATCTTAATTAAAACTATCTTTAGAGATGCTTTTTGAGGAAAAAACTTTTTATCAAAAAAATCCAGTTTAAATAAAAAAAATCCGTTTTTCCCTTTTATTTATTTATTTTTAAATCATTGATTTTTATCCACCCTGGAACTAGCATAACTTAGATCGATTTACAGTGTTAGTGTGAACCAGCCCTGAATAATGGTGTTAGAAGACTGAGGTGCAACAGTTCCAAATCTGTTTTCTTTATGCTAATACCATATAGAAGACAATATTTACTTTCCACTTTATTCATTTGTGCTGGATTGGTCAAGGACAGCGTTGATGTAAACAACTTGTAATCCTGAATCATGATCATCTATCACGATCATAAAGGGAATCATTAGCACAAACAAGGCATTTATGACATAAATTCCTGTAAAGACAGTTGCTTGCCTCTTCTTCTTGTTTTAAATATTTAATGAGAGTTGACTGAATATTTACTTACCTGTATTACAAATAATACTTTGGATTATTTAAACTAATTAAATCTAATTTACCCTTTTTAATTAGTTTTTCATACTTTCTACATTTCTCTTATACAATGAAAATAGGTCAGTTTCACACTTTTTCCTCTAAGTATTATGTTATCAACTTAAATTTCTCATACAATAGCATGTTTGTTTCATGCATACAGCAGGGGAATTTTTTAAAATATTTTCTATGGGAATAAAAAATTTGCATTTCTACTAGTCTTGGTTTTTGTAAAAGATTATTTTTACAAAACCCCAGTTTGGAGCATAATTTGACCTGACAGTACCCTTTTTTGAGTATTTCATTTGCTAATTGATATGTCAGATTTTTAACATTAGTTCAGGTGTACAGTACTGGGAGTCTGCTTAAAAGAACAGTCAGCTACAGG